CACTGAGCCACCTTCCCAGCCCGGCAGGTCCCAATTCTTAAACCAACCACCAAGGGCCAGGAATGGTGGCTCACCTTTCGTAATCCCAGCCCCAAAGTTAGCAGAATCTCTCCACCGTCGGCTGGGTTTGAACCACGATCCTCCGGTTCGCAGCTGCCTGAGGAGCTGAGAGGTCAGGCGTGAGTCATGTTATTCTCACCGCGTCATCTGCCCCTTGCTTTTCCAGGTCTGGGTTTCTGGGTTTCCTCGTCCAGATTCCTGTTCACCAGCCATGGGGCGGAAGCTGGACCTGTCGGCGCTGACGGATGACGAAACGGAGCATGTTCTCCAGGTGGTGCAGAGAGACTTCAACCTGCGGAAGAAGGAGGAGGAGCGGCTGAGGTGAGATGCGTCTGGCAGGCCTGGCGCCGGAGGATTCCCGGGGACAGCAGTCTCCCGGTCCTTTAGGCCTCGTGGGCTGTGCGCTGGCTTTGTGGGCAGAGTGGGGTCCCTTGTAGAACTTGAACTCAGGACCTGGGCGCCATCCCTCAGCTCTTCAGCTCAAGGCGAGCGCTCTACCACTTAAGCCACAGCGCCACTTCTGGTTTTCTGGTGGTTCATTAGAAAGAAGAGGCTCCCAGACTTTGCTGTCCCAGGCGGGCTTTGAACCGCGATCCTCAGATCCTCAGCCTCCTGAGTAGCTGGGATGACAGGCGCTCGGCTTGGAGTTATTTTTCCTAGGAGCAAATACTACTAACAAATAACCAGGGGGCTGGGAAGGTGGCTCAGTGGTAGAGTGCTTGCCTAGCATGCATGAAGCCCTGGGTTCGATTCCTCAGCACCATATCCACAGAAAAAGCCAGAAGTGGCGCTGTGGCTCAAGTGGTAGAGTGCTAGCCTTGACCAAAAGAAGCTCAGGGACAGTGGCCAGGCCACTGAGTTCAAGCCCCAGGACTGGCCAAAAGAGGGGGAGGGCAATGGGGGGGGAGTGAGAGAGGCCCTGAGTTCAAATCCAAATCCTGGCAAGAAAGAGAACCCCACGTGGAGAGGGCTGTAGGCGTAAACGCGAGTCTCCGTTAATAGCCGGTGATTTCACAGCGTCGCCAGGCTGTTAGGAGGGACTATTCACGGCACGGGCCATTGTTGGGCAAAATTGAGTCTAATGAGCTCACTTCCACTGTGGCAAAAACACAGTCATGTTGGAATGCGCGCAGCCCCACGGGCGGCGGGCACGGGCCACGCGCCAGCAATCGCTTCCCTTAACTGCAGCTACGCTGGCCTTTCCGCGGCCGATGCATCCTGTGCACAGGACTGGAAGACAGTTCTGGGCTCAGGAGAAGGAAGGGAGGGGCCCAGGAGACACTTCCGGCCTGGCTCAAAGGCTCAGCCTCTGTATTTATCCATTTACCTTCAGGAAAGCTGGCAGGGATGATACACTTGAGATCTAGTTTCTTGTTTTTGAAGAAGGCTGGGAAGCTCAGCGCCTGGTTGCTGTCCTGAGCTCCTTCACTCGAGCCTGGGGCTCTACCCACTTGACCCACAGTGCCAGTTTTGGTTTTGTTCTGTGGATGTGGTACTGAGGAATCGAACCCAGGGCCTCCTGCATGCGAGGCAAGCGCTCTACCACTGAGCCACCTGCCCAGCCTGGTCTTGCTGTTTGTGAATCATGGTAACTCTCTTGCTATACAGAAACTCCCCCGGAGAGAGATCCGTCGCTTGTGTTCACAGTGGGATGAACGTTGCATGCGCATGCGTGAGCTCTCGCTCGCTCTATTCAAGGCTCAGTTGTTGCTTTAAACCAACAACAGTCACAAGCATGCAAACATCTCTCCACAAGTCTCCATACCAAGGAAGAAGGCCTTGGTACTTCGTGTCCTTTGGTTTTGGAGACAGGAAAAAGGATCAGCAGAATTCACAAAGCTCTGATTGTGTGTATGTGTGTGTGTGTTGGTTCTGGGCCTTGAACTCAGGTATGTGTATGTTGGTTCTGGGCCTTGAACTCAGGACCTGGGTGCTGCCCTTGAGTTTTTTTTTTGTTGTTGTTGCTGTCGTTTTGTTCAAGGCTAGCTTGCTACCACTTGAGCCACAGCTCCACTTTTGGCTTTTCTTTTTCTTTTTTTGGTGGCTCATTGAAGATAAAAAGTCTGATGGACTTTCCTGCCTGGGCTGGCCTCAAACTGAGATCCTCTAGATCTCAGCCTCCCTGAGTAGCTCGGATGACAAGTGTGAGCCACCAGCACCCACTTAACTTCACAGCTTTAGGTCGACACTGCGCCTGCTCAGCGTGCACGGACCCCCCCGCCCCCGGCCATGGGTCACTCTTGAGCTTCTATGCTAACGTTGGGGCCCTAAACACCAGGGCATTTGTCCCCTTAGTCCAGTGACTCTACCCTCTTCCAGCCCAATTCCGTTGTGGCTCTTGAGTTCTTGGCCTTTGTTTACTTTTTCCTTTGCAAATGTCACAGGGCTCAACTGCTGCCTTTCGCTAAGAGTTTTTCCACGCCTCTAACCCCTGCCTGGCCTTCCTTCCCGGCTCTGCGAAGCAGTCAGTGTTTGTCCTGTCTGAAATGTACACGCACTGAGCCTTTCGGCCAGGATCTGGCCACGTGGTGTGCTTGGCTCTCTGTGGCCGATGCTCTCTGTTTCTCATTGATGAAGCAAACAGAGCTGCGCTCTAGGGTAGTAAGGAGAACTTCTTTCCCTATACTCAGGGCCTGGGCGCTGTCTCTCTGCTCTTTCACTCAAGGCTAGAGCTCTTACCATGTAAGATAAACCTCTGCTTCCATGTTTTTGGTGGTTTGTTGCAAATTCAAGCGTTTCTCTGACGTGGCTGGACTGAGCAGCGGGCCTCCAACTGAAAGCCTCCAATCTCAGCCTCTGGAGGAAGCTAGGATGACAGGCGGGAGCCACCAGAGTCGGCCAGAGTGTTTATTGGTTGATGATTCCTTCAGTCTGTTTAGTTAATCAGTACTGAGCCTGGAACTCGGGGTCTCTCCCTCTTTCTTGGCTTACTTGCTTAATTAAGGCTGGTACTCTGCCCCTTGAAGCACAGCTCCACGTCCGGCTTTTTGTTGGAGATGAGAGTCTCCCAGCCGTTTCTTGCCCACGCCGGGCTGTGAAGCACAATGCTCAGATCTCATCTTTTCCTCAGAAACTCGCGTGACAGATGTGAGCCACCAGCGTGCAGGTTGGAAACGCTTCTTAATGAATGTTCCTGGTGCTGCATCGCAAAAGCGGGCAAACATGCTGGATGGACTGTTTTGTTTTTAGAAATGCAGCTCCACAGGGCTGGGTGCGATCGATCTTCATTAGAGATGAATGCATAAGACCAAGAGTTCACCAGGTCCCCGCTGCCCTGGCGTTCTTAGAAAAAGCTTTGTGCAGTCAACTGGGGCAAAAGCCCTAAGGAGGGATGTGTCAGAAAGAGAGGTGAACCGCAGAGAAATGCCCATCGCCCACCGTAGTGGAGGAAATGCAAGCCAGAACAACTGAGATCCCATTTTACCCCAGTCAGACTGGCCAATCGTGTGAATTCTGACAATGCTGGCGGGGAAGTGGGGGAGAGGAGCAGTACTGCATGCTGGGGGGGCCGTGAACTTGTGCACCTCCTCGGGATGGTTGCCAGAAAATGACAAGCAGACCTTCGCCGCAACCCGGCTATACCACCCCTGGGCTTCACCCAGAAGGCCAGGAAACCATGAAGACACCTGCACAACCATGTTCACTGCCGCACTGCGCACCACCGCCACGGCACAGAAACAGTCCAGATGCCCACAACCCATGAGTGCATCCAAAACACATGGTACCTCCACACAATGGAATTTTCCACAGTCATTAGGAAGAGTAAGATTACTTCGTTTGCAGGGAAATGGCTGGACCTAGAACAAGTCATGTTGAGCAAGATAAGCCAGGCTCAGAGAGATACAGGGCACCATGTTCTCTCTCCTATGTGGAAGCTAGATCTACACTCCACGGAGACTGGATGAATGACCCAGGACTAGGCCTTCACACACAGGGAGACCAAAGGAGAAGGCTTTTTTGTTTGTTTTTTTTTTGGTCAATCCTGGGACTCGAACTCAGGGCCGGATGCTGTCCCTGAGCCTCTTTGTGCTCAAGGCTGGCGCTCTACCCCTGGAGCCACAGCTCCACTTCTGGTTCTTTCTTGAGTAGTTTATTGGAGACACAATCTCTCCTCCTCCTTTTCCCCTGCTCCTCTCTTCCTCCTCCCCCCCCACCCCCTCCCCGAGGCTGTCACGTCAAGTGCATTTCCTGCGTGTCTGCAGCATGCTGACAGCTCGTTTCTCCGTGGGAGATGGGATTTTTCACACAAGGTCAGCTCAGCCAGGGACAAAGGCCTGTGGCTACAGCGTCTATTTCTCTAGCCCGGGCTAACTCCAGACATGGTGGCCTGTGCACATTATCATATGCACATGACATGCAAATGCACCCTGGAGGAAGAAGACTTACCATTTATTTAGAAGCAAAAGGCAGGCGTCTTGGCTTAGCTGGGTGCTGGTGGCTCGTTCCTCCACTCCCAGCCCGGGGATGGGCAGGGCCCACCTGGGATCCACACGGAGCAGTGTGAACGGTCTAGGAGCTCACGCCTGTAATCCCAGCTACACAGGAGGCTGACTGAGATCTGAGGATCAAATTTCTGTCTGTCTGTCTGTGTGCTGGTCCTGGGGCTCCGATTCAGGGCCTGAGCACTGTCCCTGAGCTTTTTCCCTCGAAGCTGGTGCTCTGCCCCCCAAGCCACAGCGCCACTTCGGGCTTTTGGCTGGTTCATGGTTGAGAAGAGTCTCTCAGGCTTTTCTGCCTGGGCTGGCTTCCGACGGTGGTCCTCACATCTCAGCCTCCTGAGTAGCTGGGATGACAGGTGTGAGCCACGCACGCCTGAGTGGAATCGATCTTTCTGGACCAACGGCTGACATTCTAGAACTGCAGCTGCTCAGAAGGCTGAGATCCCGAGGATCACGGCTCCAAGTGAGCCTGAGTAGACCTGTCCGAGACACTCCCATCTCCAATGGAACCGGCAAAATGTCAGACTGGAGGCGTGGCTCAAGTGGTAGAGCGCCCACCCAATGTTGTGAAGAAGAAGAAAAAAAAGATTTTGATCTTTCCGTGTGTTTGTTTGGGGGGGGGAGGGGGTGGACAAGAGTCAGAATGTGGGGCGCCCTGGGGATGGGCTCCGTCCGGCCTCCTCACCCTCTCCCCCCCCCCCCCCCCCCCCCCCCCCCCCCCCCCCCCCCCCAGCGAGATGAAGCGGAGGCTGGCGGAGGAAGGCAGCAGGTGCAGCATCCTGGCGAAGCACCCGCAGTTCGTGGCGCAGTGCTGCATGCGCTGCTGCACGCCCTTCACCTTCCTGCTCAACCCGCGGCGGCGCTGCGGGGACTGCAAGTTCAACGTGTGCCGCGCCTGCAGCTGCTACCACAAGCGCGACAGGGCGTGGCTGTGTGGCGTGTGCCAGCAGGCCCGGTGCGTGCCCGCCCGGGCCCCGGCCCCGCCCCTCCCAGGCCCCGCCCCTCACCTCCCCGGCCCCGCCCCGCCTTCAGCGCATGCGTGCATGCATGTATTGCTGGGTTTCTGGGGGAGGTTCCCTGGCGATGGGACTCTCAGGGACTTTCCTACCCAGGCGGGCCTCGAGTCCCGATCCTCCAGGTCTCCGCCTCCCAACGCCCAGAGTCCACGGTCTGTCTCCCCACAGGCTTCTGCGGGCGCAGTCTCTCGAGTGGTTCTACAACAACGTCAAGAGTCGGTTCAAGCGCTTCGGCAGCGCCAAGGTGCTGAAAAACCTCTATCGGAAGCACCGGCTGGAGACCGGCCCCTGTGCTGACCTTCTAGGTGGGCCGGCCCGCTGCTCTGGGGAGGGGGTGGGGGGTGGTAGGGAGACAGAGACCTGGCTCAGAGGCTCTCAGGCCCCAAACAGGTCTTTTTTCTTCAGTACCAGGTATCTGATAGTAGAATGGATAGCAAAGTCTCTGTGGAGTGGTTTGGTTTTGCCTTGGTGCCCTGCCTTAAAGCTTTTTCACTCAAGGATGGTGCTCTCCCATTTGAGCCACACCCCAACTTCTGGCTTTTTGCTGGTCCACGGGTGGTGAGAATGACTTTGATTGGTCTGCCCCAGGGCTGGCTTTGAACTGCGATCCTCAGATCTCAGCCTCCTAAGTTGCTGGGATGACCGGCGTGAGCCACCAGCATCCAGATTCTTTGTTAAGGTTGTTGCAAGCACTGTACCACTGAGCCACATTCCCAGCCTTCAATTCATTTTTTTTTTCTTTTTGTCAGTCGTGGGGCTTGAACTCTGGGCCTGGGCGCTGTCCCTTACAAGGCTAGCGCTCTACCACTTTTGAGCCACAGCGCCACTTCCAACTTTCTGGTGGTTCATTGGAGATAAGAGTCCCACGGGGACTTTCCTGCCTAGGCTGGCCTCAAACTGGGATCCTCCAGATCTCAGCCTCCTGAGTCGCTGGGATGACAAGGCGTGAGCCACCGGTGCCCGGCTCTGTGTCTGGTTTTGTTTCTTGGGTTCAAGCATTCCCATACAGTGGGAGTTGGAGAGACCAGAATATCTCTGCAGATTGTGGGTATTTTCACTCCGGATCACCCAAGATAAACAGCGTTTTGTCCAGCGGGTCTGGCTGACTGAGACGTTGGAAAGTCACTCTTGCTGGGTTGTCAGAGACAACAAAGCACTCTGAGGCTGGTTTGGGGGGTTGTTTTCATTTCTTTGCCCTTTCTTCCTGCTCCAAACTTGTGTGCTTCCCGGGGCTGGCAGCCCGTCGGGGAAATCCTCCTCCCACCATGTGACCCTGTGGTTACATACCCCGGGCTTTGAACTCAAGCCTCACGCTCTTACTTCTTGACGTTTTCACTTAAGGCCAGCGCTCTACCACTTGAGCCACACTTGCACTTTTCCAGCTTTTTGCTGGCTCCTTGGAGATGCGAGTCTGCCAACTGTATCTGCCCTGGGTGACTTGGAACCATGCCCCCCCCCCCCAGCTCGGAGCCTCCTAAGTAGCTGGGATTACAGGCGTGAGCCACCAGCTCTGGGCTCTTATTAAGCATGCAGTTTGACTACTCTGAAAGACAAGCGAGCTGATGAGACCGAGGAGGGTTTGGTTGAAGCAGCTGGTGCCAGAAAAGCGTTCACAGAATGTGAACGGCCGGTGTCTGCATCGCTGCTGACACAGCAACACAAAGGGATTCTGGGATGTTTTTTCCCCCCTTTGCCCGTAAGAAATGGGGCAGAAAAGAAAAAATCAGCTTCTCTTCATTGCGTGTCTTGTATCTCCACTGTTCTCTTACAGCGTCCTCTTCCCCATAGTCTTTGGCTTATGCCCTGTCTAAAAATACCCAGCGTTCAAGCCCCAGGACTGACCGAAACGAACAAAAAAGAGTACAGACTTTCCTGCCAGGGCTGGCTTTGAACCCCAATCCTCTAGATCTCAGCGTCCTGAGTAGCTAGGATGACAGGCGGGAGCCACCAGTGCCTGGAACGAAAGACCTTTGATCATTGTAGAATATCAGTTGATATCTCTGTCTTGTCTGTCTGTCCATTTGTCTGTCTCTGTCACCTAGGAGGAAGCTTTATTGAGTCCAGTCTGGAGAATGAAGGGAGTCTTTCTGGCAGTGACTCAACTTTCTACCCGCAGTCGGAAGGTAAATGTGTCTAGGAGATCACAGCAGCTTAGGAAAACGTTGTCAGATTCAGGTAGACAATACTGCCTGGTCTCTGTGTTCTGTTCTTTCTGGGGTTTGAACTCATGGCCTGGGTGCTGTCCCTGAGCTCTTTTGCTCAAGGCTGGCGCTCTACCACTTGAGCCACAGCACCACTTCTGGTTTTCTGGTGGTTCCTTGGAGATCAGAGTCTCACAGACTTTCCTGCCCAGTCTGGCTTTGAACCAGGAACCTCAGATCTCAGCCTCCCGAGTAGCTGGGGTGACAGGCGTGAGCTACATGCTCGTCATAGTTACCCTGTTTTGATGACGGCTTTGTGCAGATGGAAACAATGAGTCTTATGGAGACTTACTCATGCAGCAAGAGCCAGTCTTATTCAGGAGAGAGAATGTAACTAGGAAGCTGGGCGTCGGGGAGAAGAACCGGGGAGACTATCACCACCAACTAACGGAAGTGGGGGTGTGCCATCCTTGAGTGAACGAGCCATGTGAGGCGGGGATACCTCAAGTCGAAGCTAGCACCCCAGTTAAAACGAGATCACAGTGAAAGCCATTATTTCATACAAATAATAGGTGTGAGTGACTTAAAAAAAAAAAGTACGTGTGTAAGTCGGGCACCAGTGGCTCACACCTAACAATCTCAGCTACTCAGAAAACAGACCTGAGGGTTCACAGTTCAAAGCCACCCAGGGCGGGAAAGTCCCTGACACTCTTACCTCTCATTAACCCGAAAGAAAATGCATAAATAAAAGCTGGGAATGGAAATGTGGCTCCAATGGTAAGAGTACCAGCCTTGAGCAGAAAAAGCTAAGGGTGAATGCCCAGGCCCTGAGTTCAAGTTGTGCGCGCGTGCGCACACACACACACACACATGCGGTGTGTGCATGCACGCAAGCGCGTGTGTGTTCCCCAAGAGAATGATCACTCCAGGAAGCATTTGGTCTGATAACAACTTTGATTTTTTTACTTATAAGTCTGCTTTTGGAAAGTTGGTTACAAATAGTAACTGCAGTGTCACAGATTCTGGGGGCTAGATCCATGTCTTGCTCTACTGACCATCGTAGCCAGCCCATGACCTCCTTAGAGCCAGCGTAGACTCCTCTGCTTATGATACTTGCTATGATGATGATTATTTTGTCTGTGACCCAGATTTCACTCACAGGTGCTCCTGATTGGCCCTCCCGCCCTGGCCCCACCTTTGATTGTGTGTGTGTGTGTGTGTGTGTGTGTGTGTGCGCGTTGTTAGCTATTCCTTTCTTAGGGAGTACAAGACGCTTAAGGTGTCAAAGGGCGGGAACACCTCATTCATGAGTTGATGTAATTAACACCCCGTCTCATTCCGCTGAGGATTTCCAGCTGCTTACCCGCGATTTGCATATGTTGAGTGATCCACAACCAAAAGATGCTAAATAGAAAAACAGAGGAGGCTGGGATGGGGGGGCGTTTGACTGTGGCCCTCTCAGAGCCTCATTATTTGAGACACCTGCAGGGAAGAACGCTAGAAATCCTCCTGAGTGAAATGCAGACGGCTCGCCAGGTGCCAGCAGCCTGCAATTCTAGCTGACTCAGGAGGCTGAGATGTAGAGGCTTGCGGTTGGAGGCCAGCCCCAGGGCAGGCAAGTCTGTGAGACTCTGACCTCCATGAACCACCAGAGAACCAGAAGTGGTGTCACATACGAGGCTCAGGGACAGGGCCCGGGCCCTGAGTTCGAGCCCCTATGACCACCCCCCCCCCAAAAAAATCAGCTATGTGTGGTGGCGGGGCGCGGGGTGAGAGTGACGGGCGTGCGTGCGGTCTCCCCGCCCAGGACCCGGCCTGATGGACACCCTGGCTGTGGCCTTGCGCGTGGCCGGCGAGGCCGTGGAGGAGGCCATCTGCAGGGCGGACGCGCACGGGGACAGCCTGGTAGGGTTTCCTTCCGGGTAGGATCTGCTTCCAGGCGGCGCTTCCTCGTTGGGGGGCTTCCTTCCCCGTGGGCCTGCGCCCGCGATCGCGCTGTGTTGCTGATCGATCCCCTCCCCGGGCGGGCCCCCTCCCTGGGTGGGGGGATCAGCTTCCTGGGGGGGGATCAGCTTCCTGGGGGGACTTCCTCCCCGGGCGGGGCTCCCCTCCTGGGGGGGGATCAGCTTCCTGGGGGGACTTCCTCCCCGGGCGGGGCTCCCCTCCTGGGGGGGGCTCATTTCCCGGAAGATCGGCTTCCTGGGCGGCCTTCCGCTCCAGCCGGGCTGTCCTGGGGGCCCAGCGTCCGGGGCGCTTCCAGCTCGCTGGGCGGGCGTTTCCTGGTGTGGTGGGGGGGGTCGCTCCCCGGAGATCTCGCGAGAGCCCGCCCCCCCAGGAGCAGCAGGACGAGGCGCGCTACCTGCGGGAGCACCGCGCCGAGCTGACGGAGGAGCTGGCCGGCGCCATCGTGCACAAGGTGCGAGCGTGCGCGCGGCCGG